TTTAGTTACAGCAGTGCCACATGCCCTGTGTGTTTGTGCATCACTTCAAGAGAGTATGTGGGGCAGTTCTTGCCGAACTGGGTGGCTAGGATGCGTGTTCATGTGACCTGAACCAGGTTTTTTGATTTTGTAGGCGAGACTTCTTTACACTTTACACTTTACACTTCATGATTCATGATTATATGCTGTGTATATATAGATGCTTATCTCGTCTCAACTTTGGAGCACCATGCCTTGCCAAGGTTCATCAAGGCCTTTCAGACCAACGATGCCTTTCTGCGAAAAGTGTCTAGCGCAACAGGTCCGCCATTGGCTGATCGGCTTTCGAGCTGCCCGAAATGTCAATCAAGCAACAGGGGTGCCTACACACACACTCGAGATATTGCGTACTGAACTGATCGCCTAAAGCCCTGAAGAAGCCTAAGCGGAAAAATTGCCTGGGTAAAACAGGTAGTATGTAAGGCGGGCGGACTATCCCTGGAAGCTCCAAGTCATCAAAAGAAAACTCCAAGTCATCAAAGGAAAGCTCCGAGTTCGTGAAGACGAGTGAACGACGAGCGCTTGTTTGCAGAACTCAACCAGGTGCAAAGGCCGACAATGGCCGACAATCTTGTTGTAGTTAAAATGGGGCCCAGGGAAATGAGAAGTCATCACGAAGCAGGTACGTGGATTCTGCGTCCAGAATCCATTTAATGTCAGTGAATCGTAACAGCCTCTTCGTTCGCCGCCACAAGTCCTAAAAAGCCAGACGGTTCCCTGTGACTCCAAGGCTTCACACTGGAATTTGGGTTTGGCATTTTCCGGCTCTGCTCCACCAGCACACCCAAGGCGTCTGCGCCTACTTGCATGAGGTGGTGAGACTGAGGCCAACAGTGCTGGTCAAGCCAGTTTTGCTTGAGGTTGGCCAAGAATCATGAGAGGACGAGAGGCCTTCAAGGCTGGGTTCTGGGCACAAGCCGAAGCCTTTTGAACCTGTCACACTACCCATACGAGTTCCTATCGGTGGGGGGTGCCATCATCGTCTCATGCCTTTGGCTTTGTCCGGGTGACCACTCAAGAGAGGCTGATTGATTGGTTGCGATTGGTTGCGGACATCACCTTTGTGTACAGGATTCCTACTTTGACGGAGCTGCATATTGTCTTCTCTGGGGCACCTATCTCAGTACCTCCACTCTGGCGGTGGAAAGGCAAGCAGTGATTTTTGCAGCGCTGCAGACCACTCTCCTTTGGTTCTTCAATTTCCTGGAGATCTTACAGAGAGCGGTGTTGGAATGCAGTTTTTTGCAACCCCGGATTTCAAGGCGGTCTTTGGCGCGAAGCTTTGCTGGCCGCAGGTGGTTCCATAGATAAGGAGGCCCTTGTCGAGTCATCGGGTTTTTGAAGCTGACGTGAACCTTCAGGATGAAGCTACTGGTGCTCCCTTCGCTGCCAGTTTCAAGAGCGATGTGTTGGTGGCAGACTTCTCAAACGACATCCTGAAGTACCTCTGTCACGCGCTCCACAGGCGGCAGCTGAGCTGGTGGCCCTAGTTGAAGGTGCAGTTGTCTCACATCAGGACAATCGAGCCATCTCGAGTTATCCGCTTTGCCGCTCTAGGTTGATTACGCTGACCCTTCGAATTAGAATGGTTGACTCGAATAACAGCAGGTGTGGCTTGGGAAAGGAGCGAAGACATCCAGCTGTCCCTGGGCGTGGGCGGGGAGTCTTTTCTATGAAGGGGACATGGGCTGAGACTTGTGATCGCTAGCTGGCGCCCAGATTCTCCATGTACGTGATCGGTCCACCTACCAGCTTGCTTGGCCATGCAGAGTTTCTCGACTTTGGTTCGTCTCCTCAATGTCCTAACCAATGGGCTTTGACTCCCCTCTTAGATTTCCGGATGAAGGACCTGGCGTTAGACTTCCTTTAGCGCTTAGATTTTTGGCTTGGCTTTTGCCTGTCGCTGGGGTGCTGCTGCTTGCTTCCTTGCCCGGGCGCGCTGCCATGGTACTGAGGAACGCTGCAGAAGCGGCGAGAGCCGCAGAGAGATTGGCAAGTGCTCCCTCTTCAGAGGGAGCCACGTTGCTGAAAAGTATCGTTGGTCACAATTTGAAGCATAGATACGGTTGTGCTTTGTACCACGCAGGCAAGCCATACAAGCAATTGGCGACAACGAAGAAGCCCGCCGTTAGGCGAATGATGCCGGGAGCTTGGGACCTGGCGTTCTCCTACACCGGTGTTGCTTGAGCTTCAACTGGCGCTGGACTTCTTTTCTGGCTTCATCTGGCTCCATAGCATTAGCCTGGAGGGGCGTTGATTTCACAGTTGCTTTGGATTGCTGGCCATTCGAGAGCCAGACGCGAGCAGAACTGGTGCTACGCACCAGGGCGCCAAACTGGATATACCAGATCTTTTCAGTGTCGTGGATTTCTGTTTGGGACATTTGCCTCCAAGCGCTTTGCTTTGACCTTGGTCGGGCCAGACTTTCCGAACCCGCTTTCGTGACGCGCTGGTTGCGTTGCAAGTTCCAATACAGAAGTACGGCGGCATGAAGGCTTGAGGCGCCACTTGGCATCTTCAAAAAACAGAAGATGGAGAGTATATTGGAAGCAAGGGCAGGAGGATTTCTGCTAAGATCATGGAATCCTAAATACAGGAAACTGCAGCACTCCTGTATTTAAAGAAGGTTCCACCTGCTTCGCAACCCCTTTGCCTGAGCCTTGCTCCTTCAGCCTGGAGAGTTCTCCTTCAGCAAGAAGACGTAGGAAGGACGGATGAGCCGTTGAACAGGAACTGCGAATCCCCATGCTGCATCTCAAGCTCTACCCTCCGCTCCCGGACCCTTCACTTGCTTTGGAGACTGTGTGGTGGCACCAACCTGTGGTGTTGCCCTGTGGAGCCCTATGGATGGAGAACAGGTCCTGTGCACACATGGGTGAGTTGTTATTCCTGTAGTAAAAATCAAGCGCGCATGTGATTTCAAGATTCGCCAAAAAGAAGGGCGAGTAGACGAAAAACACTTTGCCCTTGTGCGTGAGGCCTATCAGTGGACGAGTTCAAAAGCTTGCAGGCATTCTCCAATCCTTGTGTTGGCTGGAGAAGAAAAGCCAAGAGCTGTTGTGGACTCTTGCTGTTCTGCACAGGCATCTGATTTGCGGGAACTCTTTTCTGCTCTGGATATGGATGTGTCTGGAACAGAGTTTTGACCGCAACAAGCGCAGAAAAACATCCACTTCAACGTGAGGGTTGAGCGAAGAAAAGTACTTGCTAGGGTATCACTAGTTGTGCTGTGAACCACTTGCTGACGCTGTATTGAGAAGAAGTCAGGTATCCTTCAGCGAATTCGTTCAAGGCGCTTCAATCCACATTCTGCAAGTGGAATATGCTAGATGGTAGGAACCTTTTGGACCTGTTGATGCGCCCTTTTTCGCGCGAACTTTACTTCAATCAAATGGAGGACTTGCAGCGATTCGATTGGCTCATGAGACAGAGGTGGAGGCCAGATAATGTAACTCCAAATGCGCACAGAGCACAAGTTGCAAGATTCTGAAACTTCCCACAGTCTCATCACCTCTCTTGCCAGGAAGCTCTGATCCAAGCCGAAGCCAAGCAACAATCAGCCAAGTTGGTGAAGGAGAAGTGACATCGTGTGAGGCATTATTGACATGTTGGTTTCAAACATCAAAGCAAACAAATCGTTAGGATGTGATGGCGACCAATATCCCAGAAGGAAAAGATTGCATAAAAGCAGAAGACTTAAAGGAGTAGCTTGGCATCCAGACAAACAATCAACATGCCCATGTCGCACTGTGAGTCTAAACACTATTTCTACAACTACCGTTTGGACTTGAAACTCTTGACTCTTGCCCTACTTTGTTTGTGAGTCTGCCCAAGGCTTTTGCTGTTTCTTGACAGTAAAAAGTGGACACCAGCCAAGCTCCACAAACTTGTTACCGGACTGCCGTGGGCGCAAGATGGCTCATTGCCCCTTGGTGTCTTGGCTACAAGACGACAAGCTCTGCTGCAAAACGTCAGACCGCTCTTGAAGCAATGGCCAACTTGGTACACTTAGACCCTTAATTTTAGACTCTAGACATCTCTAAATCCTTTGTTTGGTTTTGCCTCTTGAGAAAACTCAGGCCAACTGATTGAACTTTTGCAGCTTGGCCCATCTTGGCCGATGTTCTCGATATATAAATACATAAATATATATATATATATACAAATATATCAAGGGTGAGATTGTCAGGAAATTGTTGTTGTGAAGACAAGCAAATCAAGATCATGCGATGGTTTTGTGCCAAGGTATTAGATGATCCAGCTGCTTGCTTGGAATCAACAAGATTTTTGTTGCTGGAACCCAATCACATATCTATATATAAAACACACATATATACATAGAGCTTGCATGTTTGCTTTTATGTCTATTGGCTATTGGCTGTAAAAGTGGGTTAAATTAACAAAGATGCTTGAGGTTTTTAGGCACCAAGTGTACAACCGTGCTTGCCAGCTAAGAAGCTTGAGAAGATGTTTAGTGAAGACAAAGCAGAACGCGTTTGACACGGCTTTCGAAGCAGGAAGCGGTGAGATTCCTCAGGTAAAAGCGCGCGTGAAACACGCTCGGCGCTAGCGACTTTTCAATGCTTGTGAGAAGCACTTAATTCGTTCAGCTAAGCTCTAGCCCTAGGCACAGGTGCACAAGCTCCAGGCATCCTAGGCTTTTAGGCCAGGAAGCCTCGCCCAAGGCGAGAACGTCGAAAGGCCATCATATTTTTCTCCGGCTGAATAAAAGACTGAAAGACCTTGGGCAGATTTTGCATGTGTTGACCTCTTGTTAGAATGGCGTTGTTTGTGAGAGTCCTGTTGACAGCACTCCAAACACACTCTGCAAACGCTTTTAAACACAGGTCTCAGGTGTTGTCTTCATTCAGAACAGGGTTGGCCTAATCAACAGCTTTTGCATGGGACCAACATTGAAACCGTGCATGAGGGTGAACACTGTCAGTGCAAATTAGTCCGAGGTGTACAAGAGAGCTGACACTTTGGCCCACAACGAGTGGTAGCCTCAGTCATGTGAACAAGATGGTGTGAAAGCACTCCATCAAATGAATTTAGTCACCCCGCTCTCAGCGATAGTATAGGTCATTCCTTTCCCTCCTGTATGGTTTCATGCCGCTTTAAGGCATAGGAGTCCAGACTGGAAATGGTTTCCATACAACAGACTGACTGCGATTTTCTGTGAGGCCGTACCTGTATGGCCTGCCGCCAATGTATGTCGGATACCAAGTTGAGTTTGGTTCTTTGTCTGAATATGCCGCTGCCACGATGTGGTGAAGGGCTCACGGGCAAAGGAAGAAGGCCAAAGAAAGGAATGACGACGTACAGTGTACAGGAAGAAAGGTCCAAATGAATACAGTAATATAAAGAAACATAACGAGATAAGAAGAAAATGTGTATATATATAGATATACATAATATAATATATATATATATATACACACATTTATAGAGTTTATTTTTTGTTACTTCTTTTTACGACGGCTCTATATTTGTTGGCTTTACGTTTGGGTCAGCTTCACGGACTTCTTTGCAAGGTCCGTGTTGCCTTCACCTGCGCAGTACTAGCATTTGTTGCGCAGATGGTCCGACTGCCAATGAGCCGAGAGATTGGAGTTTTCAAACGTTGGAGTCTTTGAATGGTAGGAGCCTTTGGAGCCTTTGAAACTCCCTCCTTCATGAGTTTGACTTTCTTGTTGAGAATTGTACAATGACTCGACACGTTGACACTCAAGTTGCAAAGCTTTGGACTGGATTGCGCTAGTAGGTGGAGGCCATCGCTATTAGGTTGGAGGCCATTCCTACTAGGTCCTAGGTTCCTTTTGCTATTGGGTTGGAGGCCATCGAACTTGACTTGTCCAGTTTAACGCTCCGGGTGCGCACTTTTTGCTTTCAGGTCTTCTACATTGGCCGAGAGTGGTCGATTCACAAACAGGTCCTGGAGTCCTGCTGCGTTCTGTTGGATGTTTTTGGCTGAGCCTGTCTCAATCCAGGCTGGGTTCCAAATGCGACGAGTATGCAGCTGAGCTCACTGAAGTAGATCCGAAGGGTATTCATTTTTTTGTGTCTTTGGACTGAAAGATCCTGATAGAATCTGATAGACAGGTTCCTCCCTTTTGGAACAACCTATTCAATATCTCAATGTGCCAAGCTCAGTTTGTCAGCATATTGGGGTTGGCTCACCGATCAACCCCAAGGATCTTCATGTATCTGGCAGTTGTCGTCACAGTCTTTGGGCTGATTGACATGCCTGCCCCCCGGATTCTGAAGACAAATCTAAGCTCGACATGTTGGGTGCCGAATCTATGAGTTCTGAAATGGCTTTCAGGCAGGAGCCTTCACAGTTGGTGGAAGAAGGAGGTGACTCAGATAATGCAGCATATCAGACAGCATTTTGTTCAGTTTTCTCGTTTGTCAAGACTTGATTCACACAATATTCTACATTTTTGAGTTCCGGTTCAAGGAGCAGGGATTCAAAGTAAGTGTGTGCAGACTTGCAGCGGTGTGGTTCAGGTGCCCTGCCGTTATCGGCAGGCATTTTCTGCTCAAATGCTTTGCTCGTGCTGTATTTGGCTGTGTGCGCCAGATGCTGCAGCTCTTGCTTTCTTGCTTCTCCTCCTGGAATGATCCAATCAATGCAGGTACGCAGCTCTTCAAATTGTAGCCTGCTGAGCTACGAATGTTCATAGCGCCAGATCAGGCAATGATTTCAGAGCATAGATGTTTTACGTGGTCAAAAGCCTGCTTTCTTTCCATCTAAATCTGGTCAGTGCTTTGTGGATTCCAAGAACGATTCCATCGGCTGAGGCTAAAACCTTGGATGTTGATTTCCGTGAACGAGGCTGGAATAGAAATTTGATTCCAAGAAGGTATTTACTGTATCCATCTGAGCTCAATGCCAGGCACTTATCCAGCCTCCCTCTTTGACCCATCGAGGTACCACTTCAACCCTCTCTCTTGAAACGAAAGAACAGATGCACGTTGAACTTGTGTGAGATGCTCAGCAATTCTAGCTTCCAGCTTCAAGTCAACAACAAAGCTTCCTTGGAGTCTTTCTTGGAGGGTTCTACGGATCGGGAACATGTTCCAGATTGACCAGACGAACAATACTCCATTGTGCTCACCAAACAACCCAACCACGATGGATTGCAGGTACGTGATTGAGGTCTTGAAGATGGCCGCTGCTAGTGTACAGACAGCCCCTATGTACGGGTTCCTTACAGCTTTGACTTGCATGTAACCACGTACCTGACTCATGCATGGTGTGATAACGCAAGCACCGGGGTATGCGCCACAGGTGTATGCGTTGTTTTGTGAATGTAATGTATCGATGCTATGTGTGACACATTGTGACGCCTTGCCGCCCTGCCTTACCGGTGCAGACATACCAATAGAAAACAGCTATGCCAGGTGTGTACAAAATCCCACAAGCTGCAGTGCATCAGACACTGTACCAAGCATTTTCGTTAAACAACTCAAGCTTGCTCCAGGAAGACCTGGTCGATTTTTTGGGGCCCACTGGCAGCCCCCATTCATTACTTCCCAGCAGCACACATGTGAAACATGTTTGCGGAACAATGGATGGAATTTGCAGTTGCCTAAATGAACCCTCCACTTGGCTTCCATGCGCTTTGGCCCCTCTGTCTAAGACAGAGTGACAGTGCCATGGACTGAATGGAACAGCGCGAATCTGACCTTGCGATCGTGTGCCGCTTGGCCCACGAGCACTTGAGCGAGGGAGCCAAAGGGAACGACGTTCTGAGGTGCCTGCCCTCAGATCCAATCAGAGACAATCAATTCTGCCTTCTCAAACATTGTGACATGTACAATTTCTTATGCCACTTTTGCCTGATGGGAAGGCGATTGCCACGAGACTTTCGGAGTGGGGTTGACGAAATTGTCAAGGATGTCTACTCATGCCATGTGGTCCTTGTGCTGCTTTTCCTGTGCAATCGCACTCTCACAATCCAGCTAGTGCAGGACATCCACACCAGCATAGAAGTGCCGCCCTTGTTCGCAAACAGTGGTGGAGACACTCGTCCATAGTCTGTTGAGCAGAAATGAGTGCTGTAGTGAATTTCATTGTTTCGCACAGTTTTGATGCAAGCCCTTTTCAAGTCAATGCAAGTCAGCGCTGGCAAGTAACAAGTAAGGGGACACCTAGCTAAATAGGACAGGGTGGCAAATTTCTCAACCAGCCACATGATTGAGTGTCATAGTCATGCTTCGATCAATTTGCGCAGTGTCAGCTAAGCATCGTTGAATTGTGACAGCTGTGCATTTCCCACATTAAATGCGAAGACTACAGCGACGGAGTCAAAGTGCTAGCTTTGCTTTTGGTGTCGCCTTTGCACAAATTGTGTTTCAGATTATCTCACAGCTTTTGAGCCGTATTGTGCTGTTTGACCAGCCAAGACTCTGTCCTTCATTTTCCGAAAGCGGGTACCTTAGGACTTTGAGCTGTTTTTTGCTTTTGAAGTCCTCGAACGTCGAACTTTGTGAGCGCTTTTGTATGTTTATTTTTCTGCGCGTTTGTCACAACAAAATCGCGAAAAGCGACAGAAACTAGGCTTGTGGGCTACCAGACGCAGCAAAACCATCACCAACCTCCGGGTCGCCTACAGCGTTTCACAAGCTTCAGTGCTCGAGAAGCGAACACCTGTGACAACTTTCATGCAAAGCGGGTTGTGTGTGAGCTGCTGAGACTTGGATAGCAAGGCAGGTAGCTTTCAAGACCTTGGAATTATATATGTTTTGCTTTTGTTCTTTTTGTAACGCTGGTACTTTTCCTATGTTTCACCAGGAAGACCTGGGCTTGCTGCAGTCCGGGAGCTGCCAACGATGACAGTATCAATCCTGAGGAGATTGATCCATATTTGAGTTTCCTGCGTCATCTTATGTACTACCACGACAGATGGTCAGCCAAATTGTGGGGCTCTGATGCCTTTATGGAAATTATGATCCAGACCATCCGAAAATTGGAAAGCTTGAAGCGAGATACAGCAGATGCCAGGCAAAAATACCTGCGGGTTTTGGAACATATTTACGAAGCATCCAATGAGCTTCTTGACCATGCGTTGCGGGTGACTATGCTGGTCGTCAGTGACCAGCATGCAGAGTTTGAGCAGCTCGTGACGAAAGAAGGTCCGATGACCTTGAAGCTTCTCAGTCAACGTGCAAGCGACATACGGAACAACTCACAGTTCTGGTCCTCAGATTTGGGCCAGGTTCTGCACTCAGCATTGGTACGGGCAGATCCACAACGCTTTAAACCCACTGGGACTGGAGACATTGAAAATGCTACGGCTGCTCGTGTTTGGAATCTGTGGACAGACGAGCTTCGCACTGTCAAAAGGTACGAATACTCAAGCGTGGAAGAAGCACGACTTGTCTTTGAGCAGTGCAGGTGCTGCACAGTCCTAGTCGGTCCAGAAGGCAAAATGCAGGAGAAGAGTCTTGCAGCTGCTACCAGCCAGATGCTCTCCAAGGCAAGGCCTGAAGAGGTACCGGATACAGGCTTTAACTCCACCTAGCGATGGCATCTGACCTACTAGCGATGGCCTCCAACCTAATAGCGATGGCCTCCAAACCTACTAGGGATGGGCAATGAACATGATACAGGCTTTAACTCCACCTACTAGTGATGGCCTCCAATCTACTCGCGATGGCCAATGAATAAGATACAGGCTTATGTAACTCCATCTAGTAGTGATGGCCTTCAACCTACTAGCGATGGCCTCCAACCCAATAGCGATGGCCTCCACGATAATTTCGATGTCTTCCAACCTACTCGTACTAGCGTTGGCGTCCAACCTATTATCGATGCCCTGCAACCTACTAGCCATGTGCAATTATATAATAAGACACAGGCTTTAACTCCATCTACTAGCAAATGGCCTCCAACCTAATAGCGATGGCCAATGAATAAGATAGAGGCTTTAACTCCAGCTACTAGCGATGGCCTCCAACCTAATAGCAATGTCCTCCAAGCTAATAGCGATGGTCTCCAACCTAATACCGATGGCCTCCAACCTAATAGCTTTGGCCTCCCACAAAAACAGCGATGGCCTCCCACCTAATAGCAGTGGCCTCCAACCTAATAGCGATGGCTTCCAACCTAATAGCGATGGCCTCCAACCTAATAGCAATGGCCCCCAACCTAATAGCGCTGGCCTCCAACCTAATAGCAATAGCCTCCAACCGAATAGTGATGGCCTCGTAACCTAATAGCAATGGCCTCCAACGTACGAGCGATGGCCTCCAAGCGACAATGAATAAGATACAGGCTCTGTGTGCTTCCCTGCAGTTTCAACAAATATACTTCGATGACGTTCTTCCATGCCGAAGGGCCGTTTTCTAGTGGGGCTGGGTTTTAATTCTGCCTTGCAGTAGTTTTTTCCGCCCTGTTTCTGCGCACTTGTTTGTTGTGCACGCCTTCTGCCCTGCAGAGTTTCTTTTCCAGCCTGCCTGGTTTCTTTTCCACCCTGCGAGGGCTTCTTTCTGCACTGCAGAGGGTTTCTTTTCCACCCTGCAGGGCTGCTTTTCCACCCTGCGAGGGTTTCTTTTCTGCTGTGCGGAGGTTTCTCCACTGCTTTTTCACCCGGCGAGGGTTCTTATTCACCTTGCAGGGTTTCTTTTCCACTCTGCAGGTGTTTCTGTTTCCACTGTGCCGGGTTTCTTGTCCATCCTGCAGGGTTGCTTTTCCACCTGGAAGAGTTTCTTTTCTGCCCTGCAGGGGTTTCCTCTCCACCCGGCTGAGGGTTGCAGGGGTTGTTTTTTGCACTGCAGAGGGTTTCCTTTCGCGCCCCTCCAGGGCTGCTTTTCAACTGCAAGCTGCAGGGTTGGGTTCCTTTCAACCCGACCTGTCGGGGTCTTTCAAGAGTTGCTTTTCCACGTTGCAGGGCTGCTCCTCTACACTGCAAGGGTTTCTTTTCTGCCTACACAGGACAGGGTTGAAACAGAACCCAGGCAGGGTGGAAAAAGAACCTTACACAATTGATGTCGGCCAGTAATTAGCTGATTTAGTCACAACTATAGGGTTTCTTTTCCACCTGTTGATCTAACCAGCCGTGCATTCACGGCTTCCCCGCTGACACACTGGTCGAGTCAGTGAAAAGAAACGCTAAAATGACATGAATTCGAAACTAATTGGACAGCACCACACGCCAGTCAAACCGCCAAGTAGAAAGGTGTTGCGAACACCCATCTTGAAGAACAGCAGCAAATGCAAGAAGATCATCATTGCAAAAGAAAGGGCGGGCAGCATACACAGCACCTTTAGGTATGGCCTTGCCACATTTATGGATGAGTGTAGATTCGTGGCGGCCCGGAATTCTTGTTTGTCCTTCGAAACTGTACAGCCGAGCACAGACACGTTTGACAACCTGCAAAACGTTCTTGAAGGTTCGAAGAATCATGCTGCAAGCTTTCAAGTGTAAACCCTTTGTGAATGAACACCGAAAAATATATGTTCAACAGTGCAATGTATGTTCAACATATGACACCGAAAAATCTTCACCAACCTGCCAATGTAGTGTTTGAAGGAAGGTAAACACAGTGGCAATGTCAGAGCTGGAAAAAGGCAGGGTCATATCCTTGACGTCTGGAAGCAGCCCTGTAAACCGATGTGAAAAAGAATCAACGGATGAATCCCAACTCCACAAAGGAAACCGCGCATGGTAGTCCGGAGTCGTAGACGTCAACTGACTGCCTTCTTTCGTCGCAAAGTGGTCTTTCACTTGACAAGTGGAGCCGATTATCTGATTCAAACGCGCAAGTTCAACCTGTCTCTTGCACACCATGCGCTCTAGTGAAGAAAAATACCTTGGTCAATGACAGCATGTGCATGTGCAGCGCGTTTGGCCTCACGATCAGCAACAATGTTGCAAAGGACCTGCTGTCGTGTGAGCCCAAAATTTTGAGCCATCTGTTCGGTGATGTCGTGCAGGTCAATACCATCGCAAGTAGTATGTGCTTTTTGCCATTCCAACACAATAGGATCAGGATGGACAGCACGTCGTTTCTGCCAAACACGAAACAAAATAGACCACCATGGAGCGAGGCTCCAAGATGGGCTAACACGCCCGTGGACTTTCATTTGTGCAAACAAGTCAACAATTGTAAGACTGTCAGTAAAAATCTTCACAGGGCTACCTGTGATGGCAACAGCTCTCATAATCGCAAAGAGTTCCGCTGTGTATGATGTG